TCCCGCACTGGGCCTTGCCACCCCCTCGTTCCTCTTCCCGCCTGCCGCCGCTCCGGGAAGCTCCTATGACCCCCCAGGAATGTGCCTGGGTAATTATAGCCCAGACAGGACACGTGGCCGCAGCCGGGAGCTGGGAGAGGCCTAGGCAGAGGGAGGTCCAAGGCCCCAGAGCCCTGGGACGGGGCGGCGGGGTCACCCGGGTTCCCTGAGGACAGGCAGTAGGGCGGGTGAAAGCTGCTGCGAGATTTTTCCCCCAAGCTGCAGGCAGGGCTGTAACCCCCAGGTTACCCTGGGCAGGTCCTGTTGGTGGTCTCTGGCCCAACAGACCCCCCCCAAACCTTGCTCACTTCCCGAGCCCAGGGTGAAGCAGGGCCCCCCTCAAAAGTCCTTGGGTGAGAGAGAAACAACCCCCCCTGCTCTCCCAGGCCCGTGGGGGGTGACACCCCCACCACCACCCATTGTGCTCCTGAACTGGAACCCAGCCCCACTGACCCCCACACTGAAGAGCCGGGGGTCCCCCAGCCCCGGTGCCGGGAAGCATATGGGGACATTGGCCCCTTGGCCTGGCCCCACGCATCCCCGAGACCATGCTGCGCCCTGCCAGGACCCCCACCTGCCCACAGAGAGCACATACCAGGGGGCAGCACAGCCTGCCATGGCTGTGACCATGTGTCCCCCTGTGCCGCTCTGTCCCCTCCTCTGCTGTCCTTGGGTCCCCCTATCTCCTGTCCCCTCCCCTCACACCTCCCTGTGTTGCCCTACCCCACATCCCTGCTTCCCCTAGTGCCCATATTCCCTGTCTCTATTAACTCATATCCCTGTCCCCAAATGTCCTCTCCCTGTACCCTCATATTCCTGTATCTGGTTGAATTCTGTATCCCCAGAGATGATGATTTCACAGCCTTTCCAAGTCCATTTTCCAGAACTTACCTACCCCAAGGGTGAGATTTTTTTCCTTCTATCTAGTTAGAATTTTCCTTTCTATAACTTGTGCTTGTTATTTCTCATCCTTTACTGAGCACCTGAGCCTGCCTTCGTAACCATTAAGTTGTGAAAAAAATGGTATTACATCAGCCCTTGACCTTCTTTTCTCCAGGCTGAATGATGCAGTTCTCCTCGCCCCTCCTCATGCATCCTGTGCCTCAACCCTCTACACTTTCCTGGCAGCTTTGCTGGACATGCTTCAGTTTGGACACAGAAAATTCAACCAGACACAGCCCTGAGTAACCTGCTCCAACTTTGAGCAGGAAGATCTCCAGGAGTCCCTTCCAACCTCAGCTATTACCCAATTCTAACCCTGAAGTTGTGGGCTCTAGACTTCCTTAAATGCTTATCTGAGAAAGTCCCCAGGCTCCCAAACATCTTGTGGGCAATCTATACCTCCTTCCCCCCCTGCCAGAGTCCTAATCCTCAACCTGATTAGGAAGGACGCCAAGCACCTCTTCAGAAGTTTTGACTCCAAATCCTTACTGATGGTCTCAGTGCAGTGCAATCCCAATCCTTGCCAAAAAATCCTGCAGGACCCACTCAAAACTAAAAGAACAACTCCTAAAAGACCAGACTGAAAACAGTAATTGTACCCCTCAAGCTTGCGTGCACATTACAGAGACATGGAGGCAAAGTGACTTGTGTATGAAAAAGAAATCTCAGCAGGAGCAGCAGATCGAAGCTTCCTCTCCAACGGCTCCACCTTTTTTGCATCTCAGCCCCAACGCTGTAAACAGCCGGATGACGTCAAAATTTTGTGACAACTGCTGATTTGACAGTATCTTTATTACACATCGTCTTATTACATACAGCATTCAAAAGACAGCTTACAGGGAGGAAAGACTACATTTACAGCTTGGGAGGTCCCGTCAGCCTCCAGCCCTCCTTGTTACCTATCTTCATTAGAGCAGCGGTAATTCCAAACCCCAAACATGCAGTGGTACCAGTCATGTAACTGTGAGCTGGAAAAAACAAATCAAACCATAAAAGATCTATTAGGGCACAAGTACTATACAGTAGATCTCGACAGACTCTGCAATTTTTCCATGAGCTATTCACAGTCCCTTGACCATCAGTAACATTGTTTGCCAAGAGAAATCAGAAAAGTGATCTTTTTGTAAATTAAGTTTTCTCATGCTTTCAGCTTGCAGTTTGAAATACCAATTTCTGTAATCCACTACCCCATCTCCTTACATAGGCAATCTTAAATTGCTTATTTTAGTGACAAAAATAACAATCACTGCTTCGAACTCTCATCAGCTCAGCAACTAGGAAAAGTAAAGATAAATTCTATTTCACCACAATTACAACTTAAATAAATCCCTCACATCTTTAACACTGAGTCTGAAAATACCTAGAGAAAACAGAGCTGTATAAATATCTGCAGGAGCTAATCTAGCCTGACAAGATGCTACAGGAGCAACAGCAGCAAGATACAGCTTGTCCCTCAGAGTGCATGAAGAATTCACTAGGCAGATGTTAGATTATATTTTCCGTGTAAAATAAATCACATTTGTTGCCAAGAAAACATGGATTTCCACAATTACGTTTTTCATACCCTGCAATTTCAAGTTATAACTGGTAGTTATAATTGGCAGTACTGGGTCAGCTCTATCTTTGGTCTTCTTCTGTTAGCAGTATTTATTTTAGCAGACCTGTACAATGGAGTGTCAACAAAACTCACATGCTGAGATGATCTTTACCAGATAAGACTGACATCAAGATTATTTTACACTTCTCCCTAATAGAAAGGTTTCTAAAACCAGAGAGGGCTCGTTTCATTACAGGCATTATCTACATTTACCTCTTGCACCTAAGACAGCTCCTGTTGCACAGCCTCCTATGAAATAGTTCAAGGGATCCTCTGGTTCCTCTCGGATTTGGGCACTGAGGCAGGTAGTTAAGCCAAACACAGCTCCTAGTGTAGCTGTAAACAAGAGGTAAAAAACCAAAACAAAACCCCTCAAGGAACTGAGAATTACATACATACAAAGCACATTTTTGAGACGCATGGTGCTGTACAATGGTTCCTCTGGGAGAAAAAGAGGAAAATGAAGCAAGATCTGCTTTCGATTACCCAGGGGCATCATATCCTAGCCACTACGGTGAGACTCAGCATTAGACAAGTCCCATCCGGTTCCCTCTGGTACTTCCTCCGCTCCAGCTGTGCAGCCACCTCTGTGCCACGCAGGTCCTGCGCAAGCAGGTCCAGCTCAGCCGTTAGCTGGATCCCCAGGAACCCTGCTGTGTGCCAGCACACAAGGCAGGTGGGTTCAAATGGCTATGGACAAATGCCACCACGCCCAGCTTGGTTTTTAGTTCAGGCTTAGTAAGAGCCCCTCCAGATGAGGCAACGGGGCAGCCCCCAAACAGCCAGGGGGTAAGAGAATAGAGAAGCAGGTTTCTCTGTAGCACATTCCCACAGGGTGTAGGAGATAGCAGAGCTCTGTTTGGGCTCTGTCCAAGCTCACAAGTCCCTGTGAATCCAGCCTCACAGGGATTCAGGTAGAGAAACTCAGATGGCTCTGTTCGCCTTAAGGTCGGTTTGTCCCAGCACTTTACTCCTCTGCCTGCCTGGAGCTTGCAATGATTTCTGGATAGTAGAAAAATGGATTGAGTTTGTAAATTATTCTTTTTGTAAACTGATTTTGATTTTGTGAATTAATTTCATATATTGAATTAAGAAACTGCAAAGTAGCATTGTCTTGTCCACTGAATTACATACTCATCCCATCAGACCCTACATCTATATAATTGAA